TTCCAACATTTTCAGACACAATCATCATGCCATTCACACGTATTTTAAATCATTTTACATTATTTATTATCAACCAATGGCATGTCCACACAAAGTTTCCATTACAATCCAATCACAATCAAACCATTTTATCACACACGCTATTCAACATCAACCACATTATACCTCATACAATCTTTCTATCTCAATCTCACTACCATTAAATCATTTTCATCCAAATATACATTTTTCTGTATTCTATCTCAATCACATTCTAATATATAACAATATGAATGAAATCTAAATACAAAAGGATAGGGTAGAGTCTCTCTTTACCTTGGAATGAAGACCCAAACACAAAATCAACGATGAAAGTGCTCTCCTTACATATTTTTGTCCTAAATATAGAGAAAACCACATGAGAAACCGAGGAGAACAGAGAAAGGATGAAAAATGTAAATCTTAGCTCTTTAACTCACCTCCAAACGCTCCAAACATGATTCCAACCTTCAATCTAACTCACGAACAGCTTTAGAGACAATTTAATCAGTGAAAAAGAGTTGAGAATCAAGAGAATCGAAAGAGTGTTTGAAGGGAGAAGTGGAAAATGAGTTTCCCGAATCCTAAACCCCTCAAATATTTAGGATTCGCAACACTCTCACTACAGTAAGATATTCTCGCTACAGCAAAACCTCTCCTCGCTGCAACAAAAATCTCAAACAAATTTATACTGTGGTTTCTGCAGAATCTCGCTACAGTGAGATTGCATCGAGAAATGCACCTTCCTCTATTGCCTTCTCACTATAGCGAGGAGACTCTCGCTGCAGCGAGAATGCAACAGATTCATGCCCTACACCCTGCATCACACTCTTAACCCACACTCAAACACTTTCAGTCCAACCACAAGTCTACACTCACATCTCAACCATAATATACAAATGTACACACATCTATACGTATTTACACACCTATTTTCATCACCACATAAATAAAAATGCACATTCCATATTAATTCACATATTTCTATTAATAAACAAATAGATTACAAAACTCGAGGCGTTATAGGAGGACTTTCCAGAATAGTTTCCTCATACATCTTCTCCTCTTAAAGTCTGACCATGTTGGGCTATGGCTAAAAATTAGGGATAATAATAATCTTGTCCTCCACAGTAAGACCTTCAAATTCTTGTCCCTATGGATTCAGCATAGTGACTTCTCTACTCAAGTTAAAAATTCCTAGATGGCTTCTAGATCTTGGTCTGAAAACTTAGCCTATTTCAAAAAGAATATTTTTGAATGGAATATTAATGTTTTGGTAACATTTTTAAAAGAAAGAGAATAATTCTTTACAGGATTAGGGGCATTTCAATTAAGTTGGCCCTCTCTTTTTTCTCAGTAATTTGATGCAATCCCTATGGTTTGAATACCAAAGTATCTTAGATCAAGAAGAAATGTTTTGGTCCCACCACTATAAATCTAAGTGCTTCAGCTTGGTGATAGGAATAATAAATTTTTCCACAATGTTGTTATTATTTATAGACAAAGGAATATTATTGAAGCTCTTAAGGATGACTTGAATAATTGGGAATTTGATTCCCAAAAACTTCAAACCATGATTGCAAACTATTTTAAGAATATTTACTTTGACCACTGCCCCAATAACCTTCCCCTAAGTATTGTTTCTTTCTTTCTTTCCCTCATTATGTCTGATGACATGATGCTTAATGCTGAGCTTCTAGGGAAGAAATTAAATCCTCTCTCTTTAGTATAAGGAATTTGAAAGCCCCTAAGCTTGATGGTTTTCATGCCCTATTTTTCAAAAATCAATGGGAGATTTTAGCCACTTTTATTTCAACTTTGTGTTCATAATCTTTAATAACCACTTTGAGATTGCTAAGATTAATTCTACCTCTATTGCCCTTATTCCTAAAACTGAGAACCCTGTTCACCTTAGAAATTTCATACCTATTTCCCTTTGCAATGTCAACTACAAAATTTAGCTAATAGGCTTAAGGGTGTTCTGCCTATCTTAATCTTTGGTAATCAAACTAGCTTCATTAAAGATAGGCAAGGGGTTGATAATACCCTGATCCTCCAAGAGTTAGTCCATTCCTTTATCAAACTAAATATGAATAATGGGTATATGATGCTAAAACTTGACCTAGAAAATGCTTATGATAGGCTCAGATGGGCTTTTATCAAGAACACTTTCCAACAGATTAAATTGAAATTGGAATTAGTTGAGCTCATTTATCACTGTATCTCTTCTCCCTCCATGTCCATTATCTGGAATAATAAGAACACTGATTCCTTTTCTCCAAATAGGGGTATTAGATAAAGGGACCCCATTTCCCCTTATCTTTTTGTTCTTTGCCTTGAAAAATTAGCTTATTTAATTCAAGATAAGGTTAATGAGGGGGATTAGTTTCCTTTTTCCTTTAGTAATTCTAGACCTAAAATTTTTCACCTCTTTTTGCCGATGATATTGTTCTTATCGCTAAGGCTAATATTCATAATGCTAAAATTATTAGTTCAATCCTACACCAATTTTGTTTTGCTTCTGGCCTTGCTATTAACAAGGATAAGTCTTTTGCTCACTTCTCTAAGAATTGTGACCCTGCTTTTTCTCAAAATATTAGCCTTAGGCTTGGTATTAGAATTTCTGCCCAATTTGATACCTAATTGGGATCTCATATTAGTCATCTTAACCCTACCAAGTAGGATTATGTCTTTCTAGTGATAAAATTAGGAAGAAGCTCTCTCTATGGAAGATGAACTCCTTATCTATGGCTGGGAGAATTTCTCTTGCTCAGTCCTCTATTATGAGCAAACCTACCTACTTTAAGCAGTCCATGATCATCCCTAAGTTTGTGTGTACTGAGATTGACTCTATTTGTAAGTAGTTCATTTGGGGTTCCTTGGGTGGTAGGAAGTGTCATCTTATAGATTGGGGGATTAGGTTCAGGGAATCTCACCTTGTGAACCAAGCATTCATTATAAAATTATGTTGGAGATTCGTATCCTTTCCTAATGAATTGTGGGCCCGTGTTATCCATTCTAAGCATAACTTCTCCTTTATGAAAGACCCTAGATCTAATTATAAGAACTTATCCCCCCTAAGGAGGAACATTCTCTCTGTTTGGCAACATTTTTCTGAAGGTCTGGGCTGGATTTTAGGTGATGGCTCAACCATTAAATTTTGGGATGATGGTTGGGTGCATCCCCATCAACTCCTTAAATTTTTTGCCTTTCAGCTAGTCTCTGATCTGGATTTAAAGGAACCTATGGTCTTGTTCTCTAATAATGGCTTATGGGACTGGAACTAGATTAAATCTTTGCTCCCTGCTCAAATTTGTGACTCCATTATCTGTATAAACCCCTTGTGCCTACAGGAGGGTAGGATATCTTTCTTTGGAAACTTAATGCTAATGGCATCTTCTCTGTCAAATCTGCTTATAGCTTGATCTCCTCTTTTGCCCAAAACCTAAAAATGCAACCTAATCTTTTTAACATAGTCTGGGACTGGAACCCCCTTCTCTCCCAAAATTAATGTTTTCCTTTGGAAGGTGGCCCATGGTTGCCTCCTTACAAATGTTGAAAGATGCCATCGTAAAATGTCTCTTTGTTCTGCTTACTTCAGGTGTAATAACATTGATGAAATTGTTATACATGTTCTAAGAGACTGTTGTTTTGCCAAGGAGATTTGGAACAAACTGATAACCCCTAATTGTTGGATGGCCTTTGACTAGTTAGCTAACTTTGAACTTATCTAACAAAAAAAATTTCTCTTTTCCTGTTTGGAGTCTTTTATTTGGCATAACTGTATGGTACCTTTGGGATAATAGGAATAAAGGGATTTCTCAGAATTCTTCCTTAAATAGTGAGGCTTTGTTTTTTAAAATTAAATCAGATTTTGACTATTGTGGTTTTTGTGGCAGGTCTAGTAATAAACTAGGAACTGCCTAAAAGGGTGCTAAGAGCTTCATTAAATGACAGCCGCCTCTATACTCCCAGTTGAAGCTTAATGTGGATAAAGCTATCTCCTTTACTGATGGATCTGCTAATCGTGGAAGGCTTATTCGGGACAACCATGGCAAGTTTATTGTTGGATTTCATAAAGTTCTACCCTGGTGTTTCCCCCTGACAGCTTAGATTTGGGGAATTTTTTGGAGTTTGAAGCTTGTTACTTCTAGGAATAACCACCACATTTGGATTGAAAGTGACTCAAAGGAGGTATTGTCCCTTATTGTGCACATCCAACGTTGTAATTATCCTATGTTTTCTATTATTTGTGCTATTAGGAAGTTATTGAAAAGGATTAATTTCATTAGATTTAATCATGTTTTAAGACAAGCTAATCAGTGTGTTGATTGGTTGGCTAAAATAAGGCCTGAACTTAGGTTTCCTTCTTGTTTGTTTTGATGAGACTTGCTATCTTTAAATCCTTTTCTCACTTTGTATTCCTTAGGAACATGGGTTCCTAGATCTCAGGTCTAGTTTTGGCTGTATTTTCAGACAGTTAAGCCCCAGTTATAAGCAAAAAAAAATTATTATATATAATTATTTACAAAATAAAAAATATTCTTTAATTGTTAGATTATATATTTATTTTAAAATAAAATACTCATCCATTATATGAGCTAGTAAACTATTTTAAAAAAATAGTTTAATTTAATAATAATCATTCAGACAAAAAAAAATTTCTAGTTAGACTTAATTTAAATTAGTAAAGATACAAAATAACTTTGAAATATCTAAATTTAAAAGGAGAACATAAATAAAAGTTAGAAAATATAAGCTTAATTAAAAAATAATAAAGCTAATACATATTAAACTCGATTTATTCTAGAAAACAATCATTTAAATTTATCAATTTATTATTAAGAAAAAAAAATTATTTCTTCAATTTTAAATCAAACCAAACACACTACTAACATTATTTGAATGTAAGAAAAAGAAAAATAAAGCTAAGAAATACATGCAATGCACGGTATCCGTGTCCACGAAGGGTCGATCTATCCAAACAATGGGTAGTCCTAAAAATAGCATAGCATAGCATATCATCTTTTTGTTCCCCGAAACCTTGGACTGAGAAGTCACAAGCTGAACCTCAACCTCGGACCCTGTCCCAGACACATACATGGGTTGTTCGCGCATTCATTTCAACCTTAATCTCTCTTTCCCTTCCGATGCGGCGCTTATTCCTTCCACAAGTCACTCTCCCTCTCACCTCTCACTTTCACTCTCTCACTCTCCTCTCTTCAAAACAACGAAGGCAATAAATATAATATTTCCACTTTTTAATTTCTCATTTATTATTATACTCTTTCCTTTTAAAAAGATTGGATTTGTTTGTTCCCATTTATTAGATTCGATTTTATTCTTGGTTCCAATATATATACACTTACGCACAAACATACCCTTTATTCGTTGTGTCCCGCTCAGATGGCTTTATCCAGTGCTCCGCGCCGTACCTGTGGCGCTGTGTGCTCTCAAATGACCATGGAGGAGAAACCTCTTTCCGAGAACCGAATGCTCGTTAGTTTTCTGAACCTTTTGCTTTCTGCTTCCGGAGAACGTAAAATGGAGGGAAAGGGCCCAAGTTTTATTTTTTCTGATTGATTTTTGTGTTTGTTGGGTTTTGTAAGGGTTCTTTTAATTATAAAAATTCCTCTTTTGGTTTTTTCTTCTGGGTTTATGGGTTTTTGGTTTGTTTGGTTTCTTAGAAAAGAAAATGGAGGGAAGGGAGCTGAAAGGTTTCCTTTTTGGAGTTTGATCTGTTGCAAGGTTTTTTATTTTTATTTTTTGTAAACTTCTCTTGTGGTTTTGGTTTCTGGGTTTATGCTTTTTTGGTGTGTCTGGTTTATGAGAAAAAGCGCCAATGTTTCTATTTTGATGGTTTATCTGTCGCTATATATTGAGTTTTTGGATTCCTTTTGTGGTTTTGGCATCTGGAGTCTTGGCTTTCTGGTCTGTTTGGTTGCTAAGACAAAAAACAATGAAAGAAAAGAAGCTTAAAGTTTGTATATTGGTGATTTCTCTGCGGTGGCTTGTTTGGTTGATTTCTCTGTTTGTTTGGTTTTTTGAAGGTGTATGTGCCTCCACATCCGTTGATCAAGCACTGGGTTTCGGTTCTGAGGAATGAGCAAACCCCATGTCCCATCTTCAGTGAGTAGCAAAGAGTTTATTTTTGAGCTATCTTCTGTAATTTGAGCTTAACATTGACTTGATTTTGATCACTGCATTCAACTTAGGAATAGGTTTATTTATTACTTTAATTAACATACCTAACAATGCTTTATCACTTCAATTAACATACAATTTTCTGGTTTAATGCTTAACATTATTGTAGCTTCCTGACAAAAATACACTACTGGGAGTGTTGTTATTTTACTGTCATTTGATCTTCGAATTTGATAAGTTTCCGATTTATGGCTGTTGGAACAACTCGCTTCATGAATTGTTACCATTATCAAGTGTGGAAAGAATGTATCACTCGTTAGTTGTTACCACCGCCAACAGCTAATTTTATCTGAATGCTTTTATGCCAAGTGTGATTGATAGTTTTTCATTATTCGCATTTATGGTGACAGTCTTAACTATAGCATCAATTTTGCATTTATTGATATGTTCAACATCAAAGGGTGCATTTGATTTGTGTTCGTTTTAATGTTTGGTTTATCTGTATTTGATTTTCACTATTTCCTTCACAAATTCATGAAAAGATAAAACGAAGTGAAAGCAAGTTTGTACTTTTGTAGTTATTAACAAAAACATATTAAACCCAAAATGAAGACAGAAAATATACCAAAAGTATGGAAGGTTTCCCGATCTTTCCTCATTTGGCCTTTTTTAAACCCTTATTTAACTAAAGTTTAGTCAGTCATGGCTTGAAATTTCTAGATTAATTATATGAAAGTTGAATTTAACTGACTCTTGGGGTTTCTAATGTTGTAGGAAATGCAATGGCCGAGTTGGGAAGGCTACTAATTTACGAAGCATCAAGGGATTGGTTGGTTAGTTGCTGTGTTATTGTTCATATCCCTGCTATAATTCTCACATTTTTCACTTGGATTTTTCTAGTTCCTACAATATAATTTGATGTCATTGCAATCCTTTTTTTTTTTAATTATGAAGTCTTACAAATTGAAGCTATGGTTTTCCATCTGTTAAAGGTCAAGCCTAAAGGGAATAGGTTTTAAACTTCATGTTGTGTTCCAACTTCTGAGCATCTAGCTAGGTTGTGAATACTTATGATAGTGCCACTATAGCAGTGTTGCATTGCGTCACAGTGACTTGCCACTAGTCTGAGCTTGTTGCAGTGTGTTTCAGTTTTGCAGCTGCACAGATGCTATAGCAGTGGTAATCATGGCATTTTGCAAGTGTCTTAGCTGCTGCTGTGAAAGTTTTTGAAAACCCTAAATATTTTTAACGATGCAGAGCCATGCTTGGGGTATTTAGGGTCAAAATAAAAAATGGCTTTAAATGGGTTTAGTAAAACCGATTGTGCGTCTTCCCATTCTTGCATCCTCTTTTCTCGGACTCTGTTATTGTGCCACCCATCAACGCACTGCCCTCCATTACTTTCTGGTGAGCTGCCAATGTTTTCTGGCCAGCTTCTAGTGTTTTGGTCAATAGCGCTGTTTTCCCCTTTGTTTTCCTACTGTCCCACAAGTTGTTCTCCTTAACCCGTTCTCTTATCTTTTTGTATTTTGTTGGTTTCTGACTGTTTTGTTCTCTCTTCTTTCTTTTTTTGTATGATTCTCTTGTTAAGTTCTAGTTTTATTTGATCTTTAATCTTTGTTTCTTTAAGCCATTGAGTTAGAGGGTTAAAAACTTACCTATTTCCTAGACTTTTATTGTTATATACATGTATGTTTTGCTTAATATGTTTTATGGAAAGTTTTTTCAATTTATTGCAAATGCAAATAATTTAAACTTTCTTCATTTATATTCTTTTTATGAAAATAAAATAAAATCTTATTCCATTATAGATTTTCACTATATATATATATATATAAAATCTAGCACTTACTGGGTATAAAAAGAAAAGTATTGTATACAGCCCTATATTCATAAGCTATGAAAAAATCTAAGGCAATATCATTTTTAAACTTCTTGCTTAAATCTAGAGCATAATGCACCACTCTAACAAGAATCTGGAACCTGTCATTGATTAGAGGTAGTGACAGTGGCTTGAATTAATTGTTTAAGACTTGATGTTATTTCATATTCACATCTAATAGTTTTGTCCACCTATCATCATGCTTGTTCTCTTGGATTTACATTTTTCCCTCTTTTCTACTATGCCTTCCTTGTTTTCAGCCCACTGTTTCTGGAGAGATTCAATCACCAATGGGTGTTGCTTCAGTGGAGTTCATTGATCCAAGGGAGCCTGTGGCTGTAAGTAGCATATTGCTTTCAATGTTTGTTTTGGATTAAATATTTTCCGTTATGGCCTGATAATTACATACTCCCTTTGTGTGTATAATGATTGATTCTTTTTATTTTATACTAAACTGTGAAGCATTTCAGAGATATGATTTATTCAGCCAAAACCACACTCATGTTTTTTGTTTTCCTTCTATGCTATTAATATTAGTCAATGTGGTCAAACCAAAATCCTTTTATGGTCTTCTTGTGGTTGGGTAGTGTCTTTCTGCAAGCTATTACCTGAATTTTATTTTATTTTTTCAGATAATTCCAATCTTGAGAGCTGGTCTTGCTCTTTCTGAACATGCAACATCAGTCTTACCTGCAACAAAAACATATCATCTAGGTAATGATTCTTATACAAGGGGCTAATGAAAGCAAGATGATTCAGGTGCTTTACTGTTGTTTATTTTGTATTTGAGTCTAGAAATGTGAGGCACACCCATCAAACGTGATTTATGCAACAAAAGGCTGTTTCACATACTTGTATATAATGTTGTTATAATTCATGTTGATAAGATAATCACTTGTTTAAAGATGGGAAATTCTGGTGATGTAGTTTTTTAAGAGTGGAGAACTTTTCTTGTCTATTCCTTAAATTGAATAATAATTGTATTTTTATGCTGCTTTAAAAAAGGAATAAGCAGAGATGAGGAAACTCTTCAGCCAACTGTATATTTGAACAAGTAAGAAGTTTATATTTGTAAGAGAATTATGCTTATTCGTCCATTGTTTTTCTTTTCCTTTTCTCCTTTTCATTCTAGCATGGCTTGTTGAGATAGGGGTGAGATCCATATAGTACTCTATTGTGTTTCTTGCTTTTGGGTTGTTCTACTGAATACTAGGGTATCTTTTGGTACATATTCCTGCTATATATGATCTGCAGGTTACCTGAGAAATTTCCAGAAGGATCTAAAGTTTTTGTGGTTGATCCTATGCTGGCAACAGGTATGTGTAGTCTCCTCATGTTTAAGCTTTTGTTCTCAACTTATGTTCTTTATCCATCAAAATGGGGTTTTTTTGACATGTCTTTATCATCGTATTCCTTTAATATTCACATCAATTAATATGTCGCAAGAGATATATGCACGGAAGTGCTTGGTGGCTGAACCTTTGCTTGTCTTCTCATCTCACATAATTCAAGTTCTTTATTACATGCATATGTGTGCTGACTCACTTAGTGGGATAAGACTTAGTTGTTGTTACTGTATTACGTGCATGTGCATATGTAGCCTTGAAGCAACATTTTGTGTGCAGTGGTGTTGTCATATATTCAGATCAGATTGGATAGGTATTTCTTGAACTAATACTGGCTGGAAATGATTTGGGTTAGTGGATACCTAGAAGTGTACTGTCACCCCAGGAGAAACTTTACCCTGAAAGTTAGTATTTGAATCTTAGACTTTTGCTTTAGGAAAGGTTTTACGTAACCATCAACCTAAGAGTTAATCTCACAGATCATCCTTTGAGGAATCCCAGTTAAAGACAAAAAAATGACATCTGTGCATCAATTTTGTGTTCCAAATTATGGTTGTTGTCATCATCATCATTATTATATGAATTGTAGGTGGCACTATAGTGGCAGCCCTAAGTCTCATAAAGGAACGTGGAGTTGGCAACAAGCAGATTAAAGTGGTACGGAATAATAATCTGTATATTCAGAAGCTAGGTTTCTTTTAATAATCTATGCAATTGGTCGTCGTATCTCATTATCTCTCACATTGGCATGAAATTAGAGATTAAAGAAAGAAAAAAAAAGTTTTCAAACTAAAGCTATAAATTATAAAATTAAACCAATGTTACCAATGGCGGATGGTGGGTCATGGACAGCCAAAAAATTGTCATAAAATTATGGTAGATGCAATGGCAGTTTATGGCGGAAGCATGATGGTTACATAGTAGTAGTCAATAGCAGCCATAGTGGCCTCTATTGCGGAGGAGTGGAGCAGCAAGTTGCTGCTATAGGGAGCTTGTAGCGTCGCGTTTTAGTGGAGCGGCCATCGCCGCAAATAGCACCCAAATCACTGGAGAATCGCAGCCATAGCGGCCTTATTTCATCTCTGGCCAAAACTTGACTTTTCCCTTCCTTTCTTAATGTTGGACATCATTAAATAGGGGTAATCTTGGTATTTCGCCCCCTTTTTACATTTCTGATTACTTCTTCCTAGCAAGCCCTAAGTTTTCATTTTCATCTCTCAATTCTCCTCTTAATTCTCTCTGATTTGTTCTTCCCCATCTTCATTCTCTACGACATTTTCTTGCTTCCGGTGTCCTTCTCCATCTCCGACAAGTTTTCTGAAGTAACAGAGTCGTTCTCCTGTTATTTTCTTCATTTCTAGCGAAATTTCTGACGTGACTTAGACATTTTCCAGTCCTCTTCTTCAACTCAAGCGAAGCGTCCGATGTGATCCGAACATTTCTAGTCATCTTCTTCATCTCTCATAAAAAGTCCGAGGAACATGCACATTTTCTAGTGATTGACCATTTCTCTCTTTTCTTATTTCCTTTTCTGTTTTTTATTTCCTTCTCTGTTTTTTATTTCTCTCTGATTTGGATATTAATTTTATATTATGTATAATACTTAGAACTTCAGGATAGCAGGCCCGCTATCCGCTATGCTGCTATAACGTTTTTGAGGTCGGCCGCTCCGTGCTGTTATTCGGGATTGACTACCATGGATGGTCATGATAAAATTATATATATATATATATATAATCTGCAGAATGTGATATAAAACCAACAGGGAAAAACGGTTTGAGGAAAAAAAAAGGGAATGTTAAGGAAAGTTGATATAAAGAGGTTTAGACGATAAATTTAAGTATATAACAATAATAGTCAAGGGAATAAACAAGTTCAAGCTTCTAACTCATCGCTTTTAAAGTAAAAAAACATTGAAAGCCAAATAAAATTAGAACTGAATGAGGTGAGATTTAGACAAAATAAATAAAATAGAACAATGTTGCTGGAAATTGAAACCTACAGCAAAACAGAACACTTGGCAGCTAAGAACAAAAAAAGAAATAGACAGTGAGAGGAGAACAACTTGGCGAACAATAGCAAAACATAGAAAAAAAACAGCATTTGACAGAAAATGTAGAACAAAGGTCAAAGAACAGGGGTTTGCCAATAACACCAAAAACTGGCCAAAAAACACCAGCAGTTCATTGGAAAGTCACCAGAGAGTAGTGGGTTGATGGGTCTCACAATACTAAAGTGTTAGAGAAAAGAGGGTGCAAAAATGTGGTGGCACAATCAGTTTTTTCAAACCCATTTAAAGCCTCTTTTTAGTTTCAAGTTTCAACCCAAAAACCCCCCAAAATATCCCCCCATTCATGGTTCTTCAATGTTAAAATTTAGGACGTTTTTGGATTTAAAAAAATCTCACAATAGCAGCCAAGAAGCGTGTGAAAAGCTACAATTTCCATTGCTATAGCACTCACAAGCAAGGTAGTCAAAATTGTGTTTCGGATTGTAGAATTGTACGATTCTACGATCTCCAGCCAAGCTTCTGTGCTGAATTGGTGCTGGGAACACAAAATGATAGGATCAGTGGGATCGTGCTTTTTGGAGCATAAAATCGTTGAAAACACACAATCTCGACACGCAAAGAAGAAGACTTTTTGGGCCCCTTGACCCGCGACCCAACCCGACTTCATTAAAGGGGTTGGAACCCTAAAATCTCAAAACTCCGCACTGTGATTTCTTCCTTTCTTCACTTTGTTCTGCAAGACTTTACGTCTCTGTTGTGCGACTTCCTCCTCCGACTTTGCTGTGCGCCTTCTCTGCATTTTTTCGGCGATTGGGATTTGGCTTCGGCGACTGGGCTTAGCTCCAACACTTGATTTTTTCTGCGATTTGGTCTGGGATTTTCTGCTTTCTATGCTCTTTTTTTCTTCTTCATTTTCATCATCTTTGGGCTACTATGTACTCTATATTCTTCCTATTTATACTATTTTATATGTATATACAATTTTTTAGGATCTTATGTTCCGTGTTACGATCCTTAACCCCCTCTCCAATCTTACATAAAATCTCAATTTTGACTACCATGCTCACAAGGAAGAATGAAGATACAGAGGACGTCGAAGAGAGAGACTTTATAACAGAGAGAGAGATGCGAGTTGCATGAAGGAAGAAAAATAAATTCGTAAGGTTATGTTCGCAGGTCACTCTAGAACGGGTCGGTTCAGAATGCCCAACTTGTTTTTTACCCTAAAAAGCTGTCATTTCTGCCATTGCCATGGCTGCCATACGTGTAATGGCTGCCATTGTAAACCCTCCCTTTTTTGCCATGTTTGTGGTGGTTTGGGTGGAAATTGCCAGCGACATCCGCCATGGAGCCGCCATAGCTGTTTTTTAACAACATTGAATTAAACTAATGTCTTCTATACTCTTTTTTAACATTATTGAAGTTGATTTGAATCTTCTCCTTGGCTTGATCCATCTCTTCATAAATGAAGCTCATGACTAACTTGTCTTCTGAATCAGATAAGCATCCCTTAAGCAATTCATAATGTATTTCCAAAACTCATTATTTGAAACTAGATTTTTAACTACTTTTCCATCCTTAATCTTTTGCAAACTTACTATCTTTCCATTCATTGGATGTAAACATTTTCAATAATAATATCTTATTATCATTCAAATATCCCATAAGCTCAATATAATGTGCTATACAAGGTGTCCAATAAAGCATTTTTATCTTCTCCATCAACATTTCTCCAGCTACCTTATAATTTATAGGATTGTCTGTCACCATTTGCACTACATTCTTCTCTCTAACTTCTTCAACAGCCTCATCTATTATTTTGTAAATTTTGTCTGTTGTTATGCATATGTTAGATGCATCAATAGACTTCAAAAATAATGCCTCTTGCGAGGATCACATGTTATAAGGAAACAGTGAATAATTAATATACCAGAATGTATAAATATTTATTATCAATTTAAGTCTTCTGTTATGTCACTCATCTTTCATTTCATGATTTTCTTTTACATATATGTGTTTATGTATGCTGTGTCTTAGTGTCCTATATTTTTTACATCAGTTGTTTCCATGTGTTCATTGTGTTGTGTCCAACTTTCATGTTAAAATCTATGCTTCATACATTTTGCATGATGTGATTAGGTAAAAAGTTTTCAATTTTGGTTACTAGAACCAAAGTTTTAAAAAATTGAGCCAATCGTTGATAAAGGTACTAATTTACATTTCATTAGCTTGACTGTAGGGAAACCATGCTAGAATAGGTAATAATTAATTTTTTTAATACATCTCATATATATTAGGTAATAAATAAACACGATCATAAAAAGTCAAGTTAGGTAAAATTTTAAACTTCCATGAAATAACAACACAATAATAAGATGAAAAGACAATATTAAGAGGTTAATTAGTGGCAATACATGAGTGAACCTCATACATGGGTGATGGGTTTTTGTTACTTGGCATTGGACCTTCATTTAATAAAAAATAGTTTTGGTTGCCAAATAAAACAATCTGTTCAAATTGATTTTCCATCATTGCTTGACCCTTTATTATGCATTTGATCTCTATCACCGATTTCGATATTAGTGAATTTTTTCAATTAAATAGATCTGACACCTAATTAATTAACCTATCCAATTGATTGATCCAGTTTGATTTAATAAGTAATGTTTGAACAACTTGTAGTTGATGCATCATCACAAGGGTATTCTCAATATCATACATGTGCAATATAATTAAGAGACATGCTTTTTGATCAATTGTCTACTTAATGAGTTTATGACATTCCAGATATCTGCTGTGTCTGCCCCTCCGGCCCTTCAAAAGCTGAGCGAGCTGTTCTCTGGGTAATATGATCATATCATTCCAATTTCTTCACTTTCTTTAAAGCAACAGTTTCTAATTATAACAATTTGCAGGCTTCATGTGTATACTGGAATAATTGACCCCACTGTTAATGAAAAAGGGTTGGTGCCCCCACTGCATTATAATTTTATTTATCCATATATTTGGAGTTGGCTAATCCACAGAATTGCAGCATTGTTAATTTATTTTATTTCTTTTTGTATAGGTTCATAATTCCTGGCCTAGGAGATGCTGGAGACCGCAGCTATGCTACATGATACATGAAATACCTCACTCCCCTTGGGTGCCATTTTTTTTCAATTTTGAGGCCCTAAATTTATTATTTTTCATATGGATGCTGAACTTCCGACACCCTTTGATCTGTAGTCCTCTTGGGGGTTTTTGGTAATTATAACCATTTATTGAATTACATAGGTGTTCAAATGTGAAAAGTGGCGAGCATCTATATATTGCGATGTTATCGGAACGTTTGAAAGAGCTTATAGGTAATTTATAAAAATAGTTTGACTTTGGTACATTTTTTAGTAAGTGTTTATTATGGTAAGTTTCATTATCAAATTTATGGTATGAATTTGTGGAAAAATTTATTAAATAAGTGTTTAATTAAATTTACTTACACGTACACTCATAATATTCAGATCATTTTTATTAACTATATGAAGTTTGGTCATTGGATCATGACCTGCGCAAACCCTTCCATTGTTGGTTGGTACTTAAAAAGATAGAAGACCATGCTTAACATTGTGAAGGTATCTAAAAGATGCACATGATCCAAATCTAACGTTCCAAACCTTCTTTCCTTTTACTACTGAAAAAGAAATTAATATGAATCATCTACCGTATGAAATATGGTATTTTTAAAATCAAGCCAATTATAGAATTAGCAAAGATATTATTTACAACTTACTGGTTCAACTAATCACAATTGAGTTGTAATTAAATCAGTAGCAATTAAGTATATAATTTTAGTGTTATATAATACGTAAAGTAGAGAACTAACGTAAAATTAAGCAAAGTGAAGCTTTAAATTAATGTTGCAAGATAAATAATTTGTAGTAACTAATTAAATAATAGCAATTTATATGTGAATCTTGTATAGAGATCTTATTTAAAAAATATTTTTGAAGAAAAATAAAATATCAAAATTATTAAAAACTATTGGTTTAAATTATATATATATATGATTATAAGGAAAGATTTTTTTATATTAGTATAAGTTTAAAAAATTTTATATTCAATTAAATTCTTTCATTTAATTTATATCTAACAATAAGTAAAGTATAGGTTAAATAAAAAGTTCAATATAAGATTTTGTCGTTATATATACCTCATTATTTTTAACTTTTGATGATCGATTTATCAGTTTGCTTTTATTTTTTTCTAGACTAATTTTCTAAATTCATTGAATCTGACTAGATTTTTTTATTTATTTTTAAGTAGAATCAATTATTTTTGTGTGTGGGTTAAGTTAATTTAGTTTAAAGATATAATGACTTAGTTTTATCAATTTTTTAAAGTGTTGTGAAAATCAATTAATTATTTTTAAAAATCAATATAATTGTAAACAAGAATTTAGTTTGATCGTTTTCATATATTATAACAAACTATAAATAATCATAATTTCATTTAAGAATTCAGCAAAAATAGTTATGTTTGGTAAGATAGTTGGAAAAGGTAGTTATTAGTGTTTTCTAGAATGTCACTCTAGCTTGTTTTATTTTAAATGCTATTTTTGAACTACGGTTGAAAGTGATTTTTTTATGTTTTTTTTTTTTTTTTGGCTAGAAATTTTATCTTTGTTTTTATTGTTTTATAATAATTTCTCTTATACTCCCCTTCAATATTTAAAACCTTACTATCTTTGTTTGTTTTTTTCACTTTCATCGTTTTTAAACTAATTTTGTCATTAAAACTTTTTTTTACAATATAAAATGAATAAAAAATAATATAAGTTAATTCATAATATCTCATTTTATTTCGTAAAAATGTTTTTAAATGAGAGTAAAATTAAAAGTTTATAATTATTTTAAAATATATAATTACTAATTTTAGATTAAAAATTAGTGGAGTATTTGTTTATCATTTTACATTAACTAATTAGTTCAATAATTAATATTATTAAATTCTTTCAATTTAAGCTTAGTTTTTCAACTTTCATCCTTCAATTTTAAGCTTTTAATCAACTTCTGCTGGTTGTGTGCATGTAGGTATTGTTTGACATTTCCTTTGTTACATGACGAAAAAACCGCAAAGGGACGGAACTAAGCTACAAGAAAGGACAGTCCTACAACATTCTTGCAACTGTCTAAGATACAAGATTTTTACAAGCATTTCACTTGAAAATGGTTCAAGTTCCCACGCTTTCTCATTCCAAGGAGTGTGAGTTTGTTACATTCACATTGTGTGGAAAAATGATAAAAAACTTTCATGCAATTCTTAACCTATATTGCTTTGTTAGGAGTAGTCATAAGTATCTGCTCATTCACATTGTGTGGAAAAATGATAAAAAACTTTCATGCTTATGGTAGTCATAAGTAAATTTTAACCACTTGTAGGGTCATTTTCAAGAATGTTTTAATCAATCACATGCGATATAGTCAACATATTTGGACTTTGTTAGATCTTGTTTGCAATCAAAATCCACACAATTCTATTTTATATTTGCAAATCTTCTTGCTTTATGTCTTTTAGCATTGGAATTATAATTCTTTAATCACAATTTCTTTTCAGGTGCTTTGTACCAGTAAATAGGTCATACTGTTATCTTTTTAAATTTTTAGAGATTAAAAAATATTTTTTTAAATAAATCACTACTATTTATTATATGTATTTAATATAAAATAAATTATAATAATTATTTTACATATAAGAGAACATAAAAAAATTAATTTATAAAATATAGTAAAAAGTACTATTTTTTAAAGAATTAAAAAGATATCAATAAGCCGTAATCATTATACCATGCAAAACTTTATAATCTTCAACTTCAAAATGATTTTAATTCCCATAAGCATGAATTAGTACAATGTATCTTGGGTGTTGTAATAGCTATAGTCACTTAACACTATTTTTTTATTTGAGTAAATTCTCTGCTTGACCCTTCAAATAAGATTGTTATTACATTAATATTTTAAAGACTGTTATCATTAAATTAATCTTCAAAAAGTAAATATTATTATATTAATATCTTTTAAAATATTCACTGACTTAATATTTCAGAATAAAAACTTGAATTTATCTTATTTTGTTACTATTACAATCTTTTACAGAAATAAATATTTTTATAACATAGATTTTCTATTTTTCTTATCATATCATTTTTTTTCTTTCTTTCATATTGCAAGATGATTGTATAAAAATAGTACCTAGATACAATCTCAGAAATAAACATGAAGATAATTATTGTTGATATTCTCTCTAGTTTGGTCATCCTGATCCTTATGGTGATAGTGACTTCTATTATCCTGGCGAATACTGTTGCATTACATTAATAATAATAATAATAATAATAATTGTCACTCTCTACTCTACTGTCACTATTGTTATGTTTTATACATAATGAAATTAAAAAAAAAAATATTCACAAAATTTATACTTATTTCATTTGAAAAAAATAAATTACAATTAAAATTTAAGAAATATGATATGGTGTTTTTCTTGCTCATAGACTCAGCAGGATTTGTGATTGTCACTTTCAGCATAGTCTTTCTTATCGGTGCTATTATTGCTACTGCATCGACCGATGTTGACTAGGGAACGCTAAAATTGCCACCTGCGTCTCCATAGTCATTAGCCACCACACACTACGATAAATTATGTTGGCACTCGGTTTCTATGTTAAAAGTTAATTTAGGACCATCTTAAAATTGGTATATAAGAATGAAGCTCATTTTAAAAACGTATTGTCCTTAGTTTATATTAAATGAATAATTTATATATTTAACTGTTGATGAATTTATATATATTTATTTTAATTTAAATTAATAATTTCAAAATAAAATGTAAATTATTGTGAATTAAAATTGGAAATAGACGTCTAATAGTAACAGTCACACTGTTATGTATTTCTTAGATGCAAAATTACTTATCAAATTAATGTAATCAATTTCGTTTTATACTCTTTCTTCAATTCTTAATATTTAAAATTAAAATAGAGTTATAAACAGTAATACAATTATATGAAGGATAATTTTGTAAAATTACTTTTTTTTCCTAGACTACAAGTGCAAGATAATCATTAAATTCGTAGGACAATTACGAAGGATATTTTTTTTTTTTAGTATTTAACATAACTATATTTATTAAAATTCAAACTTGAGATAACATGTTAAACTGAAATAATTTTTTATTAGTTTTTAAGTATTATTTGATATTTATAAAAATAAATATTTTTTATTTAATTTTACTGCAATCCCTAAGTTTTAATTTATTTGAAATTTTGATCTTAATTTTGATTATCCACATTAATTGTTCAAATAAAAAATTCATTTTTTTTGTTAAAAAATAAAAATATAAACTACATAATATGTAAATTGTCTAAAATTATAGGTATAAAAGTTGTATTTGAATAAACATCTAGAGGGTAAAAGGAAACTTTGCAACAATATCAAATAAGCTAGTTTGTCAACTCTTGAGTTAACTTCACGAGAAGGATGACACAAGTATATGAGAGAATATTTGAATGAAATTATGAATATCTACTAAATTATAACACATTTTAAGAGAAATCAATCTTGATTTCCTTAAAATAAGATTTATCACTTCTAAGTAATCACATTCTAAAATAACTTTATTATAACTTTTCAATATGATCAAGTGGAGAATCTAAAATATTACTTTCAATTTAGCACCTATAACAAACTTATTATCACTAAAGAAGCAAACTTTATTAACTATTTACTATTACAATCTTGTATAACACCACCACAATTCATATAGTCCATTTTACAAGTACTATTTTTATTGATTTATAATACTCAAAAGATTGTGAATCCTATGACAGAGCTAACTTGTTTAAAATTAGCAAATGAAATCTAAAATATGATAGATATTTCATTTCTCCTCATTAAAGAGTATATTTATTACTTCAACGTCAAAGTCACCTGAGAATAGATAAATAAGAAATACAATTTTTACTTCAACGCTAAAGCCACCAGTTATATCCCACGTGAAACCAAACTTCTATAGAATAAGGACAACATCTGGTATAATTATTAATACTTTCAAGCTCATAAAAACACATGACAAGAGGTTGAGGAAGTAAAACCATAATAATGAAGCAAAATATTAGTTCATAAAGATCCATGACAAATAAGTCAAATGGAAAATCAAAAACTTTATTTATTACTGAAAACTTCTAGAAACAATCAAGATTTGAAATTAGTAAAGGTTAGATTTCATATTGTTGAGTCAAGCATAAGTTGCTATTGCAAAATAAGTCTCTTTGGTAACTCCTTAATACCACTGGTCTTCACTATTTTTGTTTGTTGGCCTAAGATACTGATATATATGGA